TATAGTATTGAAATTAAGTCTACTTAATTTATCAAGTCATGTTCATGCCCTGATTTTATATACTTGTATCTATCAATAAACATTGTGATACTTGATGCATTTGCATTTGTTCATGAATTTAACTAGCACCTACCTCCGTTTAAAGAAATTTATAATTTTCTATTTCAGAAAATGGTGAGATGGCTGGGAAGGTGGCTCAGTGGTAGAGTGCTTGCCTTGCATGCCTGAGACCCTGGGTTCGATTCCTCAGCACCACATAAGCAAAAAGAAAAAAGCCGGAAGTGGCGCTGTGGCTCAAGTGGTAGAGTGCTAGCCTTGAGCTGAAGAGCTGAGGGACAGCGCCCAGACCCAGAGTTCAGGCCCCACGACCGGACCCAAAAAAATGGTGAGAGCCAAAATTCAAGCTTACTAATTCCTCTGAGTCTGCTTACTAAAATATTTTAAAGAACCATCTAAACAAAGAGTTTGGAGAAATACCACTGAATTGTTTGACATTGTCATGCTGAAACAGACTTCTGATGTCTAAAAGGCATAGCTTCTACTTGGCAGACATCATTCCCTGTAGCTGACCTATTCCCAGAAAGATTGCTGTTCCCTCAAGATAATCATACTAGCCCTGTAAAAGTACCTGGCTAATCCAGATGGAACCCATATTCCCAAGCCATTGTACTGTATTGACAAGTCTAGGCCTTAACATTGGCTTGGCTAGGGGGCTGGGAAGGTGGCTCAGTGGTAGAGCACTTGCCTTGCAAGCCTGAGGCCCTGGGTTCAATTCCTCAGCACCATATAAGAAAAAAGAAAAAAGCCGGAAGTGGCGCTGTGGCTCCAGTGGTAGAGCTCTAACCTTGAGCTGAAGAGCTGAGGGACAGTGCCCAGGCCCAGAGTTCAGGCCCCACAACCAGACCAAAAAAAAAAAAACCAAAAACATTGGCTTGGCTAGCAGTGCATAAAGTATGCTGCTGTTTCAGCATGTAAGAACAAATAGCCTTGTGTTAGTTTGTGAAAATCCTTAATGCAAATGTTAATAAATGGTTATTGTTGAATCTGTTGGATAGTAGGTAGATGGTCTACTTGTTTGGTCAGTCTTGGGGCCTGAACTTGGCCTGGGTATTGTAACTCAGCTCTTCAGCTTAAGGCTAGTGCTCTACCACTTGAGCCACAGCGCCACTTCTGGCTTTTTCTTATGTGGTGCTGAGGAATTGAGCCCAGGGCCTCAGAGTCACCTTCCTAGTCCCTCTACCTATTTTTTTTTAATTTTGTTTGTGGGTCCCGTCGTGGGGCCTGTCATGGGTGCTGTCCCTCAGCTCTTCAGCTCAAGGCTAGCGCTCTACCACTGGAGCCACAGCGCCACTTCCGACTTTTTCTGTTTATGTGGTGCTGAGGAATCGAACCCAGGGCATGCACTCTACCGCTGAGCTACATACCCAGCCCAGGAGCTAGATTTTTTAATCTAGCAAAGCAGTAACACCTAAGGTATGTTGGCTTCAAGTTTAGTTGACAGAATTTATTAACAGTTCAGCTAAGGTATTGAGGTGCTAAATTTGGGGTGCAGTAACTACATAAATTTTGTATTCCTTTCATACCAAACACTTCAAAAGTGCTTCAAATATTAATAGTACCACTGTCACATCCCTTAAAAGTTGAACAGTTAGAATAATGCTGTAATACAGCTTGTACTCATGAATGACTGATGTTTTAATAACAGTATGCAGTGACTTAGAAATAAGATGAGCTGGGTGCTGATGGCTCAGGCTTGTAATCCTAGCTACTCAGGAGGCTGAGATCTGGGGATTGTGGTTCAAAGCCAGCCTGGGCAGGAAAGTCCAGGAGACTCAAACCACCAGAAAACTGAAAGTGGCATGGCTCAAATGGTAGAGAACTAGCCTTGAGCTGAAGAGCGCAGGGACAGATCGTAGGCCCAGTGTTCAAGCCCCACGACTGACAAAGTTTATTTCAAGTTTGGTGCTTTCCTTTCTGAATTGTTCACCAACCCCATTCTTCCCAGATTTAAACCTCAGTGAAAGTGTTCCAACACCTCATTCCCTCTCTGAAGATTACAAACAAGCTGAGTACTATATCCAATAGGTTTTGTCAGCTACCATGCTGACAAATATCTACCTTGTTGGCTGTTCCACCTCTGCCTCCAATGGAAATTGCGTTCTCAAGAAAACCAATTGCTCTCAAACCCTAACGCCCCCAAAATTGATACCAAAGCTTAGTTTGTCTTCCAAACAGGAATCAACTCACACCACTAAAAACTGGTTCTCCAGTTTGTTCTCAACAGCAGCAGCCTGTGCTCTAGTTCTCATTTTAGCATTAAGTCCCACTCAAAAAGCTTGCCTTCCTCTGCCAAGACAAATGTAGACCAATCATTCTTGGCTATCAAGAAGAGAAAATCCTGGGAAGTAGAAAAGCAAATTTGAAGAACCATCTGGGAGCCCAAAGAATCGCTTAAGGATAAACTGGCAGCTGGGCGCGGTGGCGCATGTCCATAATCCTAGCTAGTCAGGAGGTTGAGATCTGAGGATCACAGTTCAAAGCCACCCCAGGTAGGAAAGTGAGACTTTTTTTGGGGGGCAGGGAGGTCCAGTCGTGGAGCCTGAACTCTGGGTCTGGGCGCTGTCTTTCAGCTCAAGACTAGCACTCTACCACTTGAGCCACAGCACCACTTCCGGCTTTTTTCTTTTTGCTTATGTGGTGCTGAGGAATCGAGCCCAGGGCCTCAGGCATGCAAGGCAAGTGCTCTACCACTGAACCACCTTCCCAGTCCCTCTGTGAGGACTCATCTCCCAATAAACCACTAGAAAACTGGAAGTGGTGCTGTGGCTCAAGCAGTAGAGCGCTTGCCTTGAGCTGAAGAGCGCAGCGACAGCGCCCAAGCCCAGAGTTCAAGCCCCACGACTGAAAAAAAAAAAAAGAATAAATAGACAAAGCAATGGTGGCTCACACCTGTAACCTTAGCTACTCAGGAGGCTGATGTCTGAGAACAGTTCAAAGCCAGCCTGGGCAGGAAAAGTCCATGCGATCTTTATCTCCAGTTAACCACAGAAAACTGAATTGGCACTGTGGCTCAAAGTGATGGAGCACTACTAGCCTTGAGCAAAAGAGCTCAAGGTTGGCACCCAGGTCCTGAATTCAAGCCTCAGATGAGTGCCTGTGCCTGCCTGTGCATGCATCTCTCTCCCTCTCCCGCCCTTCTCTCTCCCTCTCCTCCCCCTTTCCCCTCCCCCTTTCCCCTCCCCCTCCCCCCTTTTCAGGTACGTGCACACACAAAGTGTTAGGCCAAATTTATGATGCAGAAGATGGTCTCTTCCATTGGGAAGACAACACTGGAACAAACAGGCTGAGATGGACCAAGGTGATAGAGCCATACCATACTGTGACAAGGTACCAGGTGAGCAGGGAGGAAGAAACATTTTAGATAAGGAGAAACCAAGGAAGAGCAATGTTCTTGATATAGGTGAGAGGCTGTCTACGCAGAACTAGCTTCTCGCTCCCTTCTACCCTCCCCAAACTGCTCCCCACCCCGTGCCTTAAGGATATGGTCTTGCCAATGCTTCTGACTAAGGGAGCACACTTCACATCTTGTTGGAGGGGTACTGTGGGACAGCGTGGCTATCTGTCCTGTGAAACCAGGAGACCATGATTTACAAAACTTCCTCAGTTGCCTCAGATACAAGCTGCCAAAGAAAAGCAGGAGCTATAACCAGGAGATGCCTGGGCACAATCACATGGTCTGTAAGCCACTAACCCAGGGAAGAGGGCTGTCTTACAGTGCCCTCTGCTGGACCTCTGGAGGGCATCCCTGGCAGGTTAAGATTTAAAAGGTTCTTGTTTTAACATCCCAAAGGAAAGCAAGATGGGGCCTGGTGGACTCTCATACCAGAGAAAAGGTGTGAGAATTTCACATCTGCCTGTGAACTGTGATGACAACAATGACTAGCAGTAAATCCTTGAGGGTCTGCTCAGGTCAGCGAAACACATGGAAGACAAGATTTTGTGGAGCACACATTCTGGGTGATTAGTGGAGACAATAAAAACATCCAGCCTGGCACTAGTAGTTGTCCCAGCACCATTGCCCACGATGCCTTCTAGATCTCTCCATCAGCCTCCTTTCCCACCCAAACCCTATGAGCTTCATGGTGCATGTGACTGCAGAGTGTGAGAGAAGAGTTGGGACAAGCTAAGGAATAAATGAATGATACAGTGAATGAGTACATGAATAGAAAAATTCTATTTAGTTCTTAAGAAGTCTCTGAAGAAACTTGGTGCACTAGTGATCCACTTTAGCACTGAAAATAAGAGAAAAAATCCAAAATTATTAACATTATTAACATTTTTCCATAATTTGGGTAGAATAATACTTCTTAGTATCAGGTGAAATTCTAGATTGTGTCAGGCTTAAAGTATACTTTTCATATATAGTTTAAAAAAATACAAAGCCAGGTGGTGGTGGTAGCTCACATCTGTAATGTTAGCTACTTAGGAGGCTGAAATCTGATGATCGTGGTTTGAAGCCAGGCCAGGTAGGAAAGTCTATGAGATTCTTATTTCTAATTAACCAGCAAAAAAAGTCAGAA